CCCCCCCCCCCAGGCAAGCCTCCGGCGTCGCGGCTTTTCGCAGTGCCGTGTCCCTGGTGATCCCGGCCCCCCTCCCAATTGGGTGTGGTTTGTCATCTCTTCGTACGTGCAGCCGACTCTTCGTGCGTGCAGCCAAACAGGATCAAAATAATGATGGGTACCGTTGCATCCTTGCAACTCGGCCCATCCTGAGCATGAGTCGTAGGTCATAGGCCATGGGCTTCCAATTGCGTCGTCAGTCTGGGCTCCCTTCCCTCGCGGCTTCTTTCGCCTGTCTTCCCCTCCGCTGGTTCACTTGCGCCTTCCGTGCCCGGGTCCGCCCGGACCTGAGCGCGCGTGCGGACTGCCTCTGCCGCGCTGCGACGTCTCAGGAGTGTGCCCTGGTGCCGGTGCCGACTGCCAGATCTTGATTGGGCCCAGGATGGGGCGGGCCAGCATCGGAGCTCGACCCACCATGCAGGAGTGAGCAAGGATGGATCTGGATTGAGCACTCGAGGCCCGGGTCGGGCAAGGACCTCTGCCGTACCTCGTCATCGTCGTCGTCGTCGTCGCCGTCGTCGTCGTCGCTGTTTTTGTCGTCGCCGTCGTCGTCGTGTTCGTCTGTCGTCTGTCTGCGTCGTCCGTCGTCTTCAAGGCCGTCGTCCTCGTCATCGTCGTCGTCATCGTCATCGTCATCGTCATCGTCGCCGTCGCCGTCGCTGTCGTAGTCATCGTCGTCGTCGCCGTCGTCGGCCGTCCTCGTCGTTGTCGTCGTCGTCGTCGGTCGTCGTCGTCGCCGTCCGCTGGTCGTCGTCGTCGTCGTCGTCGTGGTCGTCGTCGTCGGTCGTCGTCGTCGTCGTCGTCCGTCGTCGTCGTCGTCGTCGTTGTCGTCGCAGTCTGGTCGTCCGGCGTCGTCGTCGTCGTCGTCGTTTGTCGTCTGTCGTCGTCGTCGTCGTCGTCGTCGTCGTCGTCGTCGTCGTCGTCGTCGTCGTCAACGCCTGTCGTCGTCATCGCCAGTCGTCGTCTTCGTCGCTGTCCGCTGGCCGTCGTCGTCGCCGCCGTCGTCGTTGTCGTCGTCGCCGTCGTCGCCGTCGTCGTCGTCGTCGTCGTCGTTGTCGTCGTCGTCTGTCGTCTGTCGTCTGTCGTCGTCTGTCGTCTGTCGTCCGTCTTTCCTCGTGCGCGCGCGGGAGGCCTTCGTCCCGCCGGCCCCGCGCGCGCTGCGCGTGGAGGCACGGGAGCCGCAGGCCCGCCCGTGCGCGCTTGCGCGCCGCCGCCGCCTCCGCGGCCGCCGCCGCCGCCGTCTCCGCCGCCGTCTCCGCCGCCGCCGCCGCCTCGGTCGTCGTCGTCGTCGTCGTCGTCGTCGTCGTCGTCGTCGTCGTCGTCGTCGTCGTCGTCTCGTCGTCGTCGTTGTCGTCGGTTTCGTCGTCGTCGTCGTCAGTCTTCGTCGTCGTCGTCGCTGGTCGTCGACGTTACTTGTCGTCGTCGTCGTCCTGGTCTGCAGAATTGAGGCGCTTTGTCCACTCCCTCGGATTAGGGCGCTGCGAAAATGTGGCGAACGAATAATCAAATCATAACACGTCCGACATCGGGGACGCCTGTCCCAGGGCGGCCGGAAAGCTTGTGCCCCCTATCCTTACTGTGTCGCGTCGGGGTATGAGCTCTCCAGGCGTTCCCGATGGCGGAGGGCTCACCTTGTACAGGTGCTCGTCCGCCAACGAAAACTTCGCCGGGCACTCGTGCCCCGATGTCAGGCTGGGGGACCCTCACGGCCCGATCCCGCTCGTCCAATGCTCCAGGTTTCCAGAGGCTTGTGGTGGCCTGGCAAAATTGTCGAGGAGCGAGGAGCCATCGTCGACGGGAGCGATAGCTCTTGTCGTCGGGAGCGATAGCTCTTGTCGTGATCTGTTCGCGGCGCAGGGCCCTGACCGCGGCGTTGGATCCCGGGGAGCTGCGCCGGCCCAGTTCCGCGACCTGCCCCTGCATCTGGAGACTTACGAAGTGCTCCGGCTCACCGCCCGGCGGTTTCATCTACGGGTTTTGGTGGTTTACTTCCGGGTCCGTGAGGTTATATCTCCCCCTTTCTCTCCTCTTCATTATCTTTCTCCTCCTACTCCCCCTCCTGGTCCCCCTCTCCACTGTTCCTGTGTTCTTCTTCTTCTTATTATTATTCTTCTTCTTCGTCTTCTTCTTCTTATTATTCTTCTTCTTCTTCTTCGTATTCTTCTTATTATTCTTATTCTTCTTATTATTCTTCTTCTTCTTATTATTATTATTATTCTGATTATTATTCTTATTATTCTTCTTATTATTCTTCTTCTTCTTTTTTTTCTTTTTCTTATTCTTCTTCTTCTTCTTCTTCTTCTTCTTCTTCTTCCTCTTCTTCTTCTTCTTCTTATTTTTCTTCCTCCTCCTCCTCCTCCTCCTCCTCCTCGTCCTCCTCCTCCTCTCCTTCTCCCCCCATCCTTCCTCGCGCATCCGCCGTCGTCGTGGACCTTGCCGCTGCACGCAGCCCCGCACCTCA